TGTGTCAAAACATTAGCTAGAAAATAGCTCAAAGTTAAATCTACATATTTGCAACACTCAAGTGTATGCCAATGTTCGATACGAATCCTGACTTAGAATAAACACCTTGAAAGACAAATAGGTTACAAGTTTCTGGTTCAAGTTAAAAAACGCTAGTTCTTTTTATTGCTTGGAATTCAACTTCAAACTGTGGGATAGCTATGGAAAATTATTAAACTTTTGCCTGCATATAGAGTGATAAGCTATGTATTAATTCTGAGTTCTTATTTATCCTCGATTAAATACGTTGTGGATAAAAACAGTCAACGAGTTATAAGTAATACAACAATTAATAAACTAATCCCATTACAGTAACGAAATTTCACCAAGCTTTAGTTGTACAAATATATACAACTAGAATTTATAAGCTCTGTATGGTAGCTTATTTTAAATGTTTAATAAATCTTACTAACCACAGAAACTTACTTCATTCATTGGGTTTCATCTATAAGTATAAAAGAGGATGTTTGTATATATATTTGGCAGTGATAAACTCAGACACCGCTGAACCGATTGCCACGAAACTTGGTACATACGTGTAGAATTCCATGGAATAGGTTTATACACCATCAATTCGTGATCCGTCCAATCGGCTCCGCCCCAGTGGCTTTTCCCATGTTTCCCATGTTAACCTTATGGAGTGTAGGAGTTTTGCCAACGGGTATCAGGTAGAAAGGGTCCCCATCCATGAATTCCACATACCTGCGGAGTTTTGCCAACGGTTGCGGGTTGCGCGAGAGGGGGAGGAGGAGAGAGAGAGAGATTACAAGTGACCGTGAGGGTGGCTTCCGCTAGGGGTGGACAAACCAGGCAGGATGCTGACTGTGTTCAAAGTAATGGAGTTATGCACTTCTGACTGTGAAAGGATATGTATTGAATTTTTAACCTAACCTAACCTAATCTAACCTAACCTAACCCACTGCGACAAGCGCATAACTGCCAAGCGTAGACAACCCTGACAATCGCTCTCCTTCCCTCCGTCACACTCTTTCTCCCACCACCACCGTTGGCAAATCTCCGCACCAAGAGGTGGCCGAAGGCATCCCCCCCATCTACCTGACACCTGTTGGCAAAACTCCGGTTCCCAACCTTATGAGAAATGGAATTAATGAATCTTAACAGCTGTTTCAATTAAACAAGTTGGTTCTGTTCTATGATGTTCAATAGCATTAAAGTTACAAGGATTACCAACAGGGTGCAGCACTATTATTTCTTTTACATTTATGACAACAGCTAATTTGCAACCAAAAGGTGAGTGAGCATAGCGAACGAACTTCAACCTGGAGGCGAGTTAGCGTAGTGAACGAGCTAACCTGAAGGCAAGTGAGCGTAGCGAACGAGCTCCAACCTAAAGGGGAGTGAGCGTAGCGAACGAACTTCAACTAGGACGTGATTGAGCCATGCGAACGAGATCATCTTGAAAATTAACAAGTTAAACGGGGCAAAGCCCGCGGGTTACAGCTAGTACGAGTATAAAAACGTAAGCTGTGACATCCCTCGGCAAAAACTTAACACTGGATTTCACTATATAGTGTCAGTATCAAATTAATGCATTTTGGTCATAGTTTTTTAAATGTAAGTGCTTGTTACATTTTTAACATTAAGCAATAAAATAGCCATTAGCTAGTTTATTTGTCTTTGACAATAATAACACTAAATTATCTTCACAGTGAGAAATCATGATAGTTGTTAGAAGGCTTATACAATTTCGCATGATCTCGTAATTAGGATTTCATTAAGCTATACAGCTAACTTGTTTATAATCATGAAACTATTTATGGCACCACCCGATTCCCTTTTCTTCCAGACTTTGATACAGCACACAGTCTTTGACACATGTAATTATGCAACTGACGTTTAATTTACGATTCTTTCTCTGATAACACGCTGATAAGAACGGCGGTGGCGTTTTCTATTATGGGCGTAAAAACAATATGTGTTACAGTCTTGCAAAATGATTGGTTTTGTCCCCTTCACGGTTTCAAACTAGTTAAATTAATTGAATACGATTATATAGATTGAGAAAGTTATTGTTACCGGTAGGTATTTTATTTAAAAAGTAACTTGTTGACGGATAGCTTATGCAAATCTCAAAACTACGAATCCGAGTTTGCATAAATAGTGAATGGCACACCAGCTAAATTGTACACGCTATTACAACAATGACATAATAAGGCTTTTGATTGACTCTTTTTACTTGCTAATGATGTCAATGCGTTCAGCAACTCCGCACGCCATTTGATCCGTGTTTCATAAACGAACCGGTTATTTTTCACGCAAAGGACTTTAATACTACGAGTAGTACTGTACATAATTATCAATTAGGGTACAGTTTTGAACATCCTCCGACTTTTTAAATGATTATTTTTTTTTTCGTTAAAGCGTATCAAATTTAAATCATATAAACATCCACATAATAGGCCTATTATTATATTATTAAAGTGATACAATCAAATTTTATGTAAACGGTTAAGGTCATTTACCAAATAAAAATATAGGCATATGGCACATCAAAATGAAGCTTAGAGTGTGTAGATTTGCCGAAAAGAATTGATATGGACCAATTTCCTAAGGGCTCTGCCCCACAGGCTGATTTCCAAAGGGCTACGCCTGGCATGCTTCCAATGTTTAAATGATTTAATTTAATTTAGTTAATGAAACAGCTGGTCAGTACAATGAACTGACGTTTGTTTATTTACTCGAATAAGATGTTTGTGACGCTTTATGTAGATTGAGGAGGGTTATGTTTGGTTTAAAAGTGAGGTTGTATATACGTTTTGTAAAGTATTGCTCAAAGTTTTAAGTTTTAATTTATATAGTAAGCTACATGTGAAGAGGCTTGACTTAAATTGAAGAATTATGGTAAAACATTTAATTCATGAAGCATCAATATGAAGCAATTGATGCTATTGCTACACTAAGGTATGTTGTCATATTCTTATGTATCTATTAACATCAAAAGTAGGGGTTTGAAAGTAAGTAGGTTTACGCTTCTAAATCAGTTTATGTTTTCAAACTAAATCAAAGAGTTGATGTATTTTAAAACACACACTAGCGCTACTTTAATAGCTCTCTAGGTCACATTTTCTTCCCGTTGCAAAGCACGGGTATAGCATCTTGTATTTAATTTATACGGTAGTCAGGAATTGTTTCTAGGTGTGTAATACTTTAAAGACTTTGTGTGACTGTGCACTTCTTTACATACAACTAACACTTGTCCCACACACACTTGTCACAACGAAAAACGCACAGCAGAAGAATTATGTGTCTCCAAAGATACTCCAAAAGAGTAATAATATTTTACCTATACCAAAGCTCAATTTCCAGAGAATATTACCGATTACACAGTTTTATTTTGGATTTTTATGTAAGAGATTTTGAAGTTTTGTTAGTGTATTTTGTGGACGTTTTATATCAAATTATGTTTTGTATACACTATTTAACAATTTATTTTAGGTTTAAACAAGTAATTTTACATTCTCATACCTCCGTTGGCTTTAATTGTGAAAATCAGCGATGGTTAGGAATTCGACATTCGATTGTACTTCTAATAAAAAATATTTATCATTGATGTGATAGGGGTTGTGACTCCAATCGTATAACTACAGTACTTTTATATGTTTTAACGCATACAAAAATATACTCGTATAAATAAGCACAGTAAGGTGTGATATAAGTACAAATACATAATATTTGACACCGACACACCAGAGTTTTATTTGTGTACGTGAAAATGAGTGAATGGATGATTTGATAGGTTGGTACAGTCCTTTGGTAAAGACTACAATTAGTTGGTTCTATGGCCAGGATAATTTTAAAAACGTATCAACCTAAGACAGCTGAGTCCACTTTCAAACTTTTATAAAGACTAGAGGTTGTCCAGTGGTCGAAAACTCGACCAAATATATATAAAAATATATGTACACACTTCTCTATTTTCAAATATATATTCAAGTATATTTAACTACTATACTTAATAGACTATTACTTTTAATAGACTATTGTCAATTAAATAATATATTATGCATGTTTGTTTGTTTTGATTTAACCTCAAAATTTGACCCGTATGAATACATGGTCGCACTACAAAGTTTCATCTTCAAAGATATTCTACCACAGCTTAACAGCTTCTAGCTAAAACAAAATACAATTGCACTGTACAAACTTCTCAATTTTTCACCCCATACTGTAAATAAAACATGTAATTGGAATTTCTTCCATTGGTTTTGCTTTTCTATTTATATTTCATTGTCATTTCGTCAACAGCATGGCAACCCATTAGGCCCTTGATAATTTTTATATTTTAAATTTATATTTTGTGATTATTTTGAACCTAGTTTAATTTATAAAGGAATTCTGCACATCTACAGGAAAATGTCTTTCTAACAGTATGCGTAGATTTTCCCTGCGATGCACACGAGCTGAGAAAAAGGTTTTGAAGAAACATGCTCGCCTATTAATTATAGGACTTTGACTTTATTTAGGATTATATGTAACCCCAACCTTCCGATTACTGAACGATCCTGTAACCACGCCACTCTCTTCTTCAGATACAAAATCTGTGCTCAGAGGTATGCTCAAGAATTGTTACTAGTACGGTACAGTAGGTGATAAAATATAAGCATAACAGAGTATTTAGGCGATTGTATTTCAATCCGGACATGAAGCAGAAATATGAGATCGGCTTCGGCTGGACGTGTACATAAGCAAGATGCCGGCTCCTCAATTAAAACATATCGTTAAATAATAATCGTGCGTAGAACTCCAGCAGAAAGCCAAAGCAAAGATGGTAGGATCCAGAAAGACTGGGAAGGAGCAAAGAGTGGACAGAAGATCGTGGAGAAGTCTGCAGGCTGGGTGGGGTGCAGGGGATGTAATACCTTGGAGACGAAGAGTCACAGGGCAGTAAGTATGTAAGTAAGGCGATAATGTGAGAATGTATGTTGATATTTTGTACTTACTAGACCTCTATAAGTTCACAGTTGTACAGTTCCCTGGCCGGCCCAACCTCCACTACAGCGACGGTCTGTTCGTGGTAGTACGCCATCCTCTTGGCGTCCGGCTGCACCCGTATCCCGCTGTATCCCTTGAACGGCGACGTGTTGCCTGTGATGCCCACCCCTCTCTGACCCGCCACCATGGGGACGGTGGTCATCACAAGGAGGAGCCCCAGGGCGGCCATGGGGAGAGACCACTGTAGGTCGCCGGTCCGGGCTACAACGGGGGTGGAGTCCTCATCCAAGGGGTTCGGGAGGTCTTCTCGAAGAGGAGAAATCATTGTGGTAGGTTTAAACTTTAGAAATGCCTACTAATTTGTACGTGCTGTTATATTGTCTGCGTATAGTTAAATCCTGTAGAGATGCATTATCCGTTGCAAATACAAAATGTAGAGTTGATTCTTCTAGGTTTCAAAGAAAAACTCGTTTACCTCTTGAAACGCCAAAAATCCCCACACTTTTTGAGAGCACTTGTCACAAAAATATTGTAAATTAACTAAACGAAATGACCTGTATCATTTATACTTAACACTTTTTTAATGTAAAATAAATGAAATGTTTCTAATCACTAGTAGAGAGCGCACGTGTAACTGATGTTAACACGGTCGGTCGACACAGTGGCGCACACCGGACCTGACTGAAACTACGCGCTCTCTCGCTCTAGCTCTATATCTTGCTGATACTCTAGAGAATGGAGGGGGGAGGCGTGCTGACGAAGTGTGAAACCCTGACGAAACGCGGGGAAAATCTTAAAATATCACTAACCCTCCCTCTTTCCTCCTTCCTCCTCACGATTTTTAAATTAAGAAAGTTAAGAAATGTTAAAAGTTTATAATTTAAACAAAGCAGGGGAAGGTATGAGGAAGATTGATAATATTTTGAGGGAAATTGTTTTAATAAATCTCATTTTTTCTGGTTATTAACTGTTGAATGTCGTACATGGCTTTAATAAAGTTTGGCGTTTAATTTAAACATTGCTTATATTCATTTAGAGGGTCGCCGGAATTTTATCCCCCTGGAATTTTACCCCCTGGGCAAAGCTGACGTCACTATGACGTAGTAGCCTGAGTGGCCAAAAGTTTGTTCGCGGCCGGAATTTTACCCCCGTGGATTTGGAAGTCTAATGAAAATAGTCAGAGCGTGATTAATTAGATTAGCGATAAAAACCTGAATTTTACCCCCTGTCCATATAACTAGCGTTTAGGCAACTGAAGATGTACGGGCCGGATTTTTACCCCCGGAATTTTACCCCCCGGAATTTTACCCCCTGGCTGATTTTAGAAATTGAATGATTGGTTTTTTTATTTCTGTTTTTAATTAATTGTAAACATTTCATTATTTAGTAGCCTATCTTTATTTATTTATTTTGTAATCTCAACTAAGTAAACAGAATTCGCTGTTTTATTTTGATCATATTAACCAACAGTTGGCTTCAAAGATCGAATCCTGACACTCGAATCTCAAAATTAATATTAAAACCCTGTTCGATTAGTTAATGTTACATATAAATTAAGATAGGCTACTTAATAATAAAATGTTTACCATTAAATTAAAACTGAATGACGATAATTAATCATTCTCACTAATTTATATCTGGCCAGGGGGTAAAATTCCGGGGGGTAAAATTCCGGGGGGTAAAATTCCGGGGGTAAAATTCCGGGGGTAAAAATCCGGGGGGTAAAATTCCGGGGGTAAAATTCCGGGGGTAAAAATCCGGGCCGTACATTCTAGGTTTTTATAATTTGATGTGTTCTGATTAAACCCACAACCGTGAAAATATATGTTTAATTCCGCGTTTAATCCATCGAGCTGATGTCGCGAAACTCAAAAGTTCACGGCCGGAATTTTACCCCCTGGTTTGTGACGTCACGTTTGCCCAGGGGGTAAAATTCCAGGGGGATAAAAATCCGCTACCCCCATTTAGATGGTAATAAAACTTACTGCTTAAAAGCACAAATATAGTCTGTGGTTAAAACTCCTTACTCCGTGAAAAATCCATGGCGTTTTAAATTGCACTATTTGGCAGGAACTTTAAAGTTGTAATAATATGTGTAGGCCCAGTTTGTTAAATTTTAAAAGAACAAGTTGTGAAAAAAGAAAAGAAGTTTAGAAGAAAAAAAAGTCAAGTTGAAATATGGAGTTAAATAGACCAGATCCACTTAACCTATCATATGGAAACAAATCAGATAAATTCAAACAGAGAAAAAAATCAACATTTACTGCCACAAAAACGACATAAACAAATAACATGTTAACATGTTAATAAAACGTTTTTAATATTAATATTCCCCTTGAGCCCCATCTTATATACTAAAAATCGTTTGAAAAACTTATGACAGCTAGCCTGACCATACTACTGGACCGAATTACACGCGGTTGGTGCCAAATGAAAGATATTTTCCTGTAAATGTGCAGAATCCCTTTATAAACTAAAATAGGCCCAAAAATAAGCACAAATTTGAAATTAAAAATACCCTCGCTGCAGCAAACCTGCCGACTAAGCGAATCTCCATTTGTCTGAATTGATTTTCTATTAAATCTATCTAACATTAGGTTTAACGAGTACCTAGGTTTGCTGCTACAAGAAAACTAATTAACGGTGTTTTTAGTAAAATATTAATAGCTTAGTATAAAATAAATAAAAATGCCAAGTTCGATCAAAATATATCCATTTACAGGCAAACTACAACATTTTACAATATTCTCCATAAGAATAACATGGGAATTTTAAATTTACTATTTTTGAATTTTCTTCGTTACCAATTATCGTACAAAAACACTTTGATGTACTAAATTATTAGTTTTTTTAAGCTATTTAAAAAGGTCTCGAGGGAAGCTAAGAAATTGTAAGTTTTTAGGGTCAAAAATAAGAAAAACAAAATTTTACCCCATAAAACCCCCCGTAAAACCCCGTTCCCATGGTCCACCTTTAAACCAAATTTCATCAAAATCGGACAAAAATTAATCAAGTTATCGCGTTCACGGACACATATACATATATATATAAATATAAATATATATACATATATACAAATTTGAACGAATGGTGTTTTTGGCTTCTGGGGACATCAAAATGAAAAAGTAAATCGGTCCCGGGCCTAGGTCTTACCGTGCCACCTACGGTAATAGCTACAAAGCTGGACAAATTCTCTAAAAAACGTTGGTCTTATGGGTTGCCATGTTGGTAACGAAATAACAACAAAATATAAGCTAAACAGAAAATCAAAACAAATTGAAGAAATTCCAATCACATGTCTTATTTACAGTTTGGGGTGAAAATAGAGATGTTCGCTCAATACATACTTTGGGTCGAGTTTTCGACCACGGGGTGAGCTCTCGTATAGATCTATATATCTATATCTCTACTTATTTAATACGCAAGCAGGTTTTAAACTACTTAACCGATTGACATGTTTTTGGCGTCATTGGAAAGAGAGTGTAACGTGAAGTTGTGCAGCAAACATTCTTTTTAGGGAAATAATTATTAGAAAGTGAGGCCCTAGGGCCCTTTAAAGTTTCGTATTTCTACATAAGATTAACATGGGAAACACATATCGTCATGAAACTCCAGCTGTTGTCAGAAATTTAAAGTGAGAAAAAGAACATATGTTGTAATTGTAAACAGTCAATAAGTTTGCTAATTTAACAGTTTGCTACAAGCATTTACTGACTTGGTTGAAATGAAAAATTTACTATTTGAATGTTTGTTGGCGTAAATATTACAATGGAAAAAAGTGAGAGAGCCTGGATAGATTGATATAGGCCTACCAAAAAGAAAACTGAATTAACACTGTGCTGCATTTCTTAGTAATCATTGAAAGAGACAAACTAACAACCAACGAAAAACTAACTAACGATTTGCAAACTATGGAAACATGGGAAAGTCATAGAACACCACCAAGGAGAAGAAATAGAAATAATGTTTTTTTAAGAATTTATAATCGTTATTATGGACAACCTAATGCGGCTATGAGTAAGGCTATTAGTAGAAAACACAAAAAAACCAGCTTTTGAACAATTATAATACATTTACAAGAAATCTTGATTATATTGAACTGATATGTACATCGTGAGTATTTCCATAATCTTTGAGTCAACTCTTTTAAAAGTCATCGGAAATGATGACTGTTTTAAAATAACGCCTGTAATACTTCGCAATTGATCGAATTCGAGCAACAGGAACACTATATACAACACACAAAATAATTTTGTAAAAAAGTAATTTTGTAAAAAAAAACTGGTGACAATGGTGGTCATGTAAGCTACAGTATCAATGATGAAGATTAACATGTACAACTTTATGCGGCTATGGGTGAGTCGGAAACATTTTGTAGAAACACTAAAATCAAGGTTAGCTTCTGAAAAGTTATAAATCATTTACAAGAAATGTTGATTATGTCAAACTGTTACGAACAGCGTGATTATTTCCATTAGTTACATAAGATAAGCTTTTAGTTGAGCCTTACAACTCATTGAAAATTATGACCGTTATTCGTTTTAAAAATAGTAATACAGGTACTTGACAATTGCTCGATTTCGAGCAACAGGTACACTAGTAGAGACTAAATGAAATCTGGTTTGTTGAAGTTTCTTCACTAATTTATTATTCCCACAAATACTTGATTTTTTTTCGTATTCGTGATTATTCCTTAACATCTAATTAAAACTTAACATATATTTTCAACTATTTTAGTAATAGGATCACCGTAAAAACAAACTATTTTAGCACTGCACAGTGCCCGTATTTTTCTCCGGTAGAATACTTGCACGGATTGTCGAGTTTTAAATGTTTTTTTTTAAGTATCGTGCGTAATTTGTGTTCCTTTATGACCAAAATCAAAAGCAAATCGTAAAAAAATATAAAATGTTAAAGATAATTTAAAATGTAGACCTAATTATGAATGACCCTGAGGTAGATTTTGAGTAAAATCCAAACACGACTGCAGCGAGAGGTGGTTATTTCCTGCATTCCTGCATTCAGCGAGTCCTGCTCCTGGGTCATAATGTAAATGTCCTGGGAACACCGTACTGGGTGGTATGGAAAGCCCTGAATATCTTACTAAACTGTGACTGCCCAGAAATGCAGCATGACTAATACAGTATTACGATTAGTCTACCAAAATTGATCGGTAAATTATTAATTAATACAAACTAGAGCTCGCCCCGTGGTCGAAAACTTTGCAATAATAACATAAAGTATGCAGTGTGCAAACTTCTCAATTTTCTCCCCACGCTGTGAATAAAACATGTGATTGGTATTTCTTCCAATTGTTTTGATTTTCTGTTTATATTTCGTCACCAAAATGGCAACCTATTAGGCCGGATTCTGCACATCACAGACTGATATATTTCAGTATGCGTAGATTTTCCCTGCGATGCACAGGAGCTGAGAAAAAAGGGTTTCAATAAACATGCTTGTCTATTATTAATATACAGGGTTGGGCAAATGTGTGGATACCCCTGGTTAACTTTTTAATGGGTGACACCAGGAAAACTAAACTAGATATACCTTCATAAAAAATAGCGGTGCCAATTTTTCCCGGGACCGCAAAATGGGGGTAGCTCCAAAATTTTAAATGTAAAGCCCCATCGAGTGACACCTCATTTTAAAGGTCTATATTAAAGAAGAATATCAGCGAAAACTAGAGGTCTCTATCTCAACCCAGTACGACATGGCGGTCATTTTAAATTTTCATCAGCCTGAGAGAAACTTTTAATGAGGTTAAATTGTACGATGAATTTTCATCAAAAATAAAACCTCCACAAATATGACCGATAAAATTTATTTTGGTACAACCCGCGTGTAATTCGGTTCAGTAGTATGGTCAGGCTAGCTGTCATAAGTTTTGCAAAAGTTTTGCAGTAGGTATATAAGATGGGGCTCAAGGGTAATATTAATATTAAATAAGTTTTATTTAATTACATGTTCCTAATATAAGTTAATATAAGTTTTTTAATATATAAGATTAGTTGTATCTTAACAGAATAGCTATCAATGAATAACATATATTTGCAATTTTTTGCTTTGAACCCTCTTTATACAATATTTTAACCCCCAGATCCAATCAGTATTGATCATGAATGAAATAGATATGTTACCTACCGGAAAAGTACTATATCTAGACAATCACTAATCGGCACATATCACAACGCTTTTAGGCAAAGTATGAAATGGTTATTTTAATTCGATAAGATGAAATTGCAAAACAGTTTCAAAAAGTCCTACAACGGGCAAAGTATAAGATGGGCTTGATTCCATACTTTGCCGGGCTCGTTTTTCGCTATTTATAGATTAATCATGCCTTCTATTAATCTCTGAATATATACTTTGCAAGTATCACCTAGCCAATTCCCAAACTTTGACTCTGGGTTTACAGCGAGTTGAGCGATTTTCTAAATACTTTCAAAAATCTGTGTTTTGTACTAATAATATAGCATTTATTTATGTTACTCTCCGCTCTCCACAAACCGATAAACTCATTTAAAATTAGACGGCAAGTAATAGTCAAAATAAAGTGCACCACTTGATCTTTTTTACTCTTGATCAGTAGCACGAAATTCTCGCAGTTCCATGCTGACTTGTCTAGAATCCCGGATTAGGTAGAAAGTGTATCGGTCAAACAGACGGACGAGAATGGAGTGCGACCTACTCTGTCACTGTTGACAATTTGAGACTCAACCAACACGAAGATGCGACGAGGACACTAGCGAAAAGTTCATATCCTGCGATCTATACAATAACATATGTTGAGATATAAGGTGTAAGGTCCCAGTCAGTAATGAGAAGAGATGCAGCGTTCAGTCAAAATAATCTACGAAATAAATGTCATTTTCGAAATAAAGTCCAAAAATGGAAACAGCATTTCGGTAGGTAGGCCTATTTGAGAAGTTTAACGATTGTTTTATTGAACAGAGCAGTTTTGAACATGTACAATTTGGGACGGTAATTTAAAAACTGACCAGAGCTGTAAAGTATAATTACAATAAATGCCCTATAGGTTTACCGTACACACAAATCCCTTACAATAGTACTTGGAATATCGTACGTCAAGGGGTGTTGGGGTGTAGAAAGTTTCCAAAATTAAGCCAACAACTACTGTGTGTGCCTCTGGATAGTCAGGAATAGTTTACTTAACCTAATTATAATTACAATTTCGTAACCCACTTAGTAATATTATGAAATTATATACTGTATTTTGAAACATCCTTTTTATAAATCGGGGTTTTCATTATTATATTGAAACTGATCTGTGGTACAAAAAATTAAAGCAAACATCTCGGTGGCAATCTTGGTATTTTATGGCGTTTAAAATTAAAAATTCCGAACCCTACAAAGTATTCTCAAATATAAAACATATTTTCCAACGGTAAATTGTTTTAGTTCACGGTTTCCGGTTAAACAGTTGGGTTTTATTCACGTTCCAAGCAGAATGTAATATTAGCAAAACTAAATTTGCATGGAACCTTTCAGGAATGTGTCTCCGTTATACTTAGACTTAATATGATTGTTTTGTAATGTCCTTTCCCTCAAACAAAAACTAAAAAATATGTGTACATCACTTGAAAATTGACTTACTAGTTTGAACGTCAGTTAATCTTTTGCATCCAAAATAATGATACTTAGATCAATAGCAATTTTATATTATGTTACAGCAGACTTGTGTTATAGTTTCGTATTTTATTGCGGTTGACGTTATTTCTTTTACCGTCAATTGGTAAATATGATCTATCAGATTGCATCCCCTCCGGGAACCCGAATAGAGGAAACGGTTTGTTATAAAGTAACTAACCCGAATAGAGGAAACGGTTTGTTACAAAGTAACTAACGCAAAAATAAGTTACAATATAAAATATAAAAGTTTCATTGAACCGTACCGTTCAAAGTATTATAAAGCTTGTACCTATCAGGAAACAATTCTTGAACTAGTTTTAAAGTCTTGTAAAACAGAAGAATATCCATCCAATTTCAGAAAAACTATATAGACAGAGCAAAATTTAATTTAATTTGTTGTTACCGTCGCCAAGGAAATGAGTTACAAAAGCTGATTAACTATTGTCAAGAAATAGTAAATTTCATTGTGTAAATTTAAAGTCATATTTTTCAGAACGATTTTAGGTAAGTTGTTTTTTTTCTGGCAGTAGTTTTACAATATTAATAAGATTACCTTGTTTGACTGAGTTCTTAACAGTTGTATTCCACAATAGGCCCGTAGGCCTACTGTATGCATTTTTCTACAATCGTATCTATAACTTATATCTTCAACACTCTTTTTCACCAAAAGTCTATTTATATTTACACCTAATATTACGGGGTTGGTTATAACTCGTGTCTAGGTTTGCATAAACGGTTAACTGGGGAATACATTCAATCCTGTAGCTCGATATACAGAGATATACTAACTAGCAACTCTCAGGATAAAGATTACGTCAATGTTTTGTGCATTGCTGTTTCATTAATTGGTCTAGCATCTAATTGTTCTTCAAACGTAATTCAATACCTAATGAAATACAAGTTTACACGTTTTAAATGTTAGCCAAAGTAAAAGCTCATTAAATAGAACTTTCAAGTAAAAAAATATATCTACCAATTTCATAGTAATGATTGCTAATTATAATGCGAAGACTTTAAAACTACACCAATGGTATTTAGAACTTCTCTTGTTATCCTTATGGAGAATTGATCGTTTCTTTGTGTTATGGATAAAAATGAAACAAATTTTGTTTCACGGTAGGCTTATTATGTTTATCCCAAACCAATTTTTGTTGATCATCACGGCTAAACCTAATTTTTCATCGAGTCTAACTTTTACCATAATTCGTCAATTTCCTTTAAATTAAAAAGAATTTAAAAGCAAATTCTGAAGCAATGGCAATTCAGTCTACAGGTTTGATGCTACCAAGTCAACTTTGATAGTAATTTATAAACCCAGATAATGGGAATCTTTTCTTTCAGAAAACTATCAAGATGCAGGTGTCGCAAGAAACTGAGTTTCCTTATTCCATGTACATCAGTTCTCAAGAGGAAGAGGGAAGAAAGGAGCTTGCCGCTAGACCGGTGAAAAAGGAGGCTTTGATAAGGGTATGGAAGCAAATTTATTATAAAGTTAGTTAATAAGAAATGTTTGAGATTCGTGTTTTTGTGGTTAGACCAAGATGTACACCGATTTAATTTTCTCTTGGGCTACGAATACTTCAATGGAATCTTTTAATACCTAATTACGGTATAAGGAAAAACATACCTATGATCCTTCAACTTAAAAATCCAACTTTGTGAATTTGAAAACTAAACATGGGTCTGAATCGACACATGTTTTCTATGGGGTTTACGTGATAACTATAGAGCCTTCATCTATGAATCTGTCTTTATGCAATGCTTGACTGTATTGCAACGAGTTCTAGCGGCCCTGATAATGAAGGCGTTGGATCCATGAACTTTCTTTCACTTGCCTCTCTAAAAAATCTAGTCATTATAATAAACTACTAGTTATGAAATGTGTCCTGAGCTGAGAGTCTCAATACCAAATATATGATTGAAGATAGTGTTGACATAGCTCAAGGTTTCCTGGAGAATAATAAAAAAAATTGACGTTCCAATTTATAAAACCCCTTAAAGTGTTGCAACAGGCTGCTGATTTATACACAGGTACTGATCATCCGTCAAAAATTCTACCTTATCAAAGGCCTAGACTGAAGCCTGAACAAAACAGACTCATTGGGATCTCCAAGTCATGAAAGGATTATTTTGGCAGGATGTTATCTGCATTTTAAAATTTAATGGATCCAAGCACAAAACTAAAATCTGTTAGAAGGTATGGACTAAAATGTTTGTCAGGTTACCGATACTCTAAGACGATTAGGGTTGGGTTGGGGTATAATACCTGAAACCTCTAATGTAGCCTATATATGTCCTACTTATTTCGTTTGAGCTGAGTGAACATTTTTCCAGGCCATGGGAGAAATAGGGATGGCAGGAGAGTGGAGAATCACCCAAACTAGCTGTGGACTCATCGTCAGCTTCATGAGGGACGAAGACCTTCTCAACTTCCAGGAGGTGGATGTAGGGAATGTTCTGGGAGTAGAGGCTACTGGGTACTCTTTCTCTTCCTTGGACACTTACAGACAGGTAAATACAGACAAAGAGAAACAAGAGATCATAGAGGAGGGCTGGGGGAATGGCTTTTGTGGGACAGTTTGAAGTAAATAACATAGTATAAAGTTGAAAATTAGAATGTAATAGAAACAGGTATGAAAAAAATTTGATGCTCCAAATATTCTCGTTCTAGACACTTTTGAGGAAATACTTGCAGTAAATACAAGGATAGATAAGTATTTATAGTGGTATAAGTTTTGAAAATGAGAGAGTGGTAAAAACAGACATGTAAAGCAATTTTAGGGTAAAATCTTTGAATATGAATTGTCTCAGAAGGATTTGGAATGGTAATGTTCGTAACTTATTAAACTATTTGTTAAATTAAACATTTACAGAGATATCGATTACAGTCTGCCTAAAATACAAAAAAAATTACCGACCCAGCCAAAACAGTTGCTGCCATGTGCTATTTCGATCATGAAAATTAATTGATATTACCTAAAATTTCTTTATTTTTTTAACTTTTTATAAGAAGTACTGTATATAGCTTTTTTATTGTTGGGAGATGATAAAACTATATTTGAATAAAGTTCTTTATAAATTTCACATTTTTACCCTACGATAAAACACCTTTAGTCTTGGTATAAGAGGAGATAATGCATAGGCATGGAAAACAAGTGTCTGAACTATGAAATATAAAGTCAGAAGTTGTAATAGATATAGGAATTTGTAAGTATGGGCCCTATAGTTGAAAGTAGCAAGCAAAATCTTTTAAGGGGAGAGGAAGCAGCAAGGATAATTTTTACTGATCAAACTCCAAAATGTTATAGAAAGTCCTGATAAAAGACTTGCCACTGCTAATCAGCTCAAGAGAGGTGGAGAGCGCATTAAATAGACAAGGGGTGTTCCCTCTATCTACTGTGAGGACTAGACAAGGGAACATTATGGTGGAGGTAGGTGTACAATACATATCTATTGACAATACACTTTACTTGATTGCTAACTTACCAATTTTTTTAGTTGTGAATTTTCCAGTCCAGGAATGCTTATGGTTGTCTTGAAATACACAGGTTGTCTATTATGTATAAGAGTTTTGGGAAAAGTTTCCAAGTGTTCCTGTCAGTGGCGTACATTGTAAGTACATTGAGCGGTGAGCCCCCCCCCCCCCGCACCACAATGGGATGGTGCCCCCTCCCCTCCCCACACCACTTCACCAAAACATCACTACTTATGTTTTATTCATTTATCTCAGCAAAAGCCGTGATCGGGGCAAAATACAAAAACTCGTGGACGTTTTTAATCACTTCCCTAGATCATGGAAACATCGTCATCTTTTTCTGGATCACTGTTGCACCTTAAATATCTGCGTTTATATAGACATGATTATCTTATCCCACAGTCATTAAAACTCGTCATCGTTTTCTGTGATCATGGCAGCATCTTGTTCAAAATCTGCGGTCTCGAAGACATCATCATCATCGTCTTCCGCGGTCACGAAAACAACATAATCTTTTTTCCACATTTGCGGCAAAATCATGATTATCTTCTTCATCCTTGAAGACATTATCATAATCTCCCACGGTCATGGAAACAACGTCACCTTTTTTTGCGACTGCAGTGAGCTGTGACAGTCGGACCTCAGAGCCCCCTGGACCTCAGGCGCCCCTTTGACCTCGGCCCCCCCCCCCGCACTGCAGGGCGTGACGGGGGGGGGGGGGGTGTTATTAACGCCATTGGTTACTGCTCCACAACACCACTGTGTAATGTACGGTGATGATGATGATAAAGTTACCATTTAGCTAGACTGCAGTAGTGCTCTAAATTTGAAGCTGGATCTCAGAGAAATAATAGTAGTAATCACGAATACTTATGTATTCAAAACATCTAATCCATTACAACCGGCTCAATTCTTTAAGGAGGAGAAGTATTGACAAGAGTAGTCCTTAAACTTGACTACTTTTATTTACTGCTAGACATTCAAATTACGGTAATTCATCTGATAATAATAAAGAGTAGGTATTGGAGTTGATTTGAAATTCAGTGATACAAAGTCCTATGATTGGTTTCAAAATTTTTAGATGTAGTCTATGTTTTAATTTTTTTAGTTGGGTTTCCGCACAAATTTTCATTTTGTTTACCCCTTGGTAGAAATAGTATTAAATCAGATAACAGTTCTGCTGCAGTTGACCCAGATATCCATATTCTAGAATACGGAATTTAATAAATTGCCTTGCATTTAAAATAACCCATTTAGCTTCAAAGGGCCAAACCATCTAAAGTAACCCATCATTATCATCTTCCTATTATTATTTTATAATCCTCAGCTAGGTGATGCTAGTTACCTGATGGCATTACTGCGAGATGGTTTTGACTTCTACGGAACAGCCAAGTTTGCTTGCATCCCCGTACCAACTTTGCCACCCCCGCCTACAACTATAGCCCCACAATGGGACATGGTCCTGCCAGCCCCACCTCCACCACGGGATAGTGTGGTTCAGTGCTTCAAATGTCAGGTATTAATGCCATAAGTTGTTGCGAATGTAAGTTTTGGCAACTTATCATAGAATAGCAAAAACTAGTTGTTTTTCTCAAAACCATTCTAGTTCTTGCTACTTGGCTTTGCAAAAAATGTCTCATGATTAGCTATGTTCAATTAAATGTTATATGTTTTGAAAGATAAAAACTGACACTTCTTCACTTCTAATTAATACTCTAACTTATAAATAATTAATTTGCAACTTTTCAAACTTCTTTGTCTGAATACAATTCCAAACCCAAATCGTTAAAGAGGGATTTTTTGCAAAGCCAAATGATGTAATGGCATAGGTGCAAATATTTAAAAAAAAAAGCTTTCAACACCACCACACTTTAATGTTTAGCACAAAACCAATTACCACCAAACATTTTACAACTACAACATCAAAAACTACTACTCTGCACTACAATGTAACACGGCTGGCTGTTGTTTTTTGTAGAGTGTGAGGTCTGGGTGCCCAAACAGTGATAATGCTTGCATTCAAATCAAAGGGTTGATAGCTCGATCCTGAGAGGTCAATTTTGGACCCAAATACCATTTTGCATTGGGCTATCCATTGGTGATATCTATGACAAAAGTTTGATGTTACATTGTAATAACACCATAGCATGGATTTTTCACAAAAACACAAACATTCCACTGATATAGCTCATACAAACATACCTATTCTATTGCATGATTATGAGAATGAGCAGGTTACAAATCAGAAAATATTTTAAGCCTCATGTAATATTATGAATATGTCTTTAACAACCTATATATTACCAAGGTGCCACTACAAAAAAACAGGACATGCTGCAGAGCGGGCAGCGCAACACTATGTCACAGTGGTGGATAGTTGTACTAAATTTGCCAGACATAAACAGCCAGACCTAAAACAAATGGAATATGGCAGTGACTATCCATTGTGACGTCATGTCATGGATCCTAGCATGGCCTGATTTTCTAGTGGGACCTTGATATTACCGTACCATAGATACAAAAAGAATAAATATAGACTGTCAAAGGAAGGTTCCGGCGCCCACCGCTAGGAGTGCCGTGTAGTTACGGCGCACTCCACTGCAGGTGAGGAGCGCAGGGGACGTATATGTGACCAGCAGACGCCGCAGGGGTGTGCACCCCCACACACGCAAACCTACACACGCAAACTTACACACGCAAACTACACGGCAAACCTAGCGGTGGACGGCTGAACTTATGCTAATTGCAGCACAGCTGACGGTCTATATTTATTCTATTTGTCTATGATATTACGCACAAACATTACATAGGTAATTGACCCCCAAGTGATCTGTATATTTCTGTAATATATGCATGGTCTGAACTGAAAACCATCATGATATACTTATTAGGTATAATCTTAATTTATTACTCTAGGTCAAGTTAGTGTAGGACATTTTTCAAAGAAGCTTTCCTCTCTCCTGTAGAATGGATAATGCATGGATAATACATAGAATGGATAATACATAAGCGTCCCAATATTATTGCCAATCTTACAAGTATTCCTTGCATATTCCAGGGGTTCTGGCACTTTGCAGCGCAGTGTCCCGGCCCCCAGAGGTGTGTCCGGTGTGGAGACGGCCATCCAGTGTCTGAATGTTCCCGTCCCAGGAATGACCCCATCTGTGTCCACTGCTCTGGCAACCATCACGCAGCATACAAGCTCTGTCCTGTCAGGCTCCAGATGAAGACTTATGTTCCTCTACCTCAGGTGTACTTCCCTGCCTACCTCCCACACCCGGGCTACCCTCAGTGACCTCCCTCATGTGTTGTCCTGTCTTGATTAAATTTTGTGTCGTTTTGTCGGAGATTGTATAGTCTAGTTATTTATTTAATTTTTTTATTTTTATATTTATATATAAGTGAGGTTAGTTAGTAGGTAACCTTTTGAAGATTTAAAACTGAGCCCTGTAAATTGGCCTTGATCGTTGGGCTTTTAATAAATAGTCCTGAATAAAAATACTGCTGGCGCAGCAAAACAATAAATTTCCAAAAGTTTGATCAAATTATATCCATAAACAAGCAAACTACAACATTTTACAATATTCTCCATAAGAATAACATGGGAACTTGAAATTTAAAATTTTTTGAGTTTTCACCGTAACCAATAACCGTATAAAAACACTGATATACTGAATTATTTGTTTTTTTTAAGCTTTTTAAGAAGGTCTAGAGAGAAATTGGGAAATCAATGTTTTGAGGGTCAAAAATGAGATAAACCAATTTTTACCCCATAAAACCCCGTTCCCATGGTCTGATCATGCTGTTTCGCGAACTCATTCAAGTTTTTCCCGCCTTACACCTTTAAACCAAATTTCATCAAAATCGGAAAAAAATTATTCAAGTTATCGTGTTTATGGACACATTTATATGTATAGTTATATATAAATCTATAGGTATACACATATAAAATTTGAAAGAATGGTGTTTTTGGCCTCTGGGGAGATCAAAATGAAAAAGTAAATCGGTCCCGGGCCTAGGTCTTACCGTGTCACCTATGGTAACAACTACTTCCTTATAGGGAAATTCGCTAAAGAATCTATTCTTAGTAAGAATACGGCCACAAAAGCATTTTTTCACGCAAGAGCGTAGCGTGAAAAAACGTGAGAAATATGAGCAGCATTAAATGTAATGAGGTATGCCACACGGAGCGTGTTTTCACGCAGATACGACGCGTCTTCAAAATCGCAAGCCGCGGGCCCGCAGAAGAATGGAGTGGTGCATTTTTTAAGCATGTTTTCACCCTCTGTCCCTGGCCACACGGGTGGGACTGGCGGGAGCAACACCAGCGTTGCTCAAGTGGTCCTGGCAATTTTAAATCAAGATAAATGTAATTTTTTCCAGAATAGCGTCAAATATTTTTGGGTCTAGCCAATTGCACAGTACACGTTTTAACCAAAACAAATGTCGATCTTACTGGACCACTTAATAATTTTTTACTAAAAGGAAAGAAATTTAGTTAAACCAAAGAATGTGAAGAGACATTTATGTAGAGCAATATTTTAGTTATATTCAAAGATTTGATGAAAATCTTGTTAGAAATTAATTTTAAACATGTCATAGATAAATTTATTTTATATTAAATTTTTTTTATACAAAATGTAAATAATTAAATAATGGTTAACAAAATACAATAATTTTAGTGTTGTTTTCGTATTGAAATTCATTCATAATTCTTGTTCACTAGTCAAAAACAAGGTTACTATTACGACCATGAGGAAGATATACAACATATAATCATGTGAATTCAGCAACCGACTGCGGGTTGCCACTGCGTTTTGCCGCTCTTAGACTTCAACCAAATAAGCATGAACATCCAATTAACATTTTACCGCGTTAAAAAACGCACAAGTGGCCTATTTCAAGCAGCATGAAAATATGCTAGAGTATTCACCGCGTGAAAAAATGCCCGTGTGGCCGTAGCCTAACAAAGCTACACATATACCGGTAATCTCAATACATTGGGTGTTTTCATGCTTTACAGGATGCCACCAAGCATAGTAACAGCACAGCGTCAACGGTAATCTAACGAAGTTTACAATCTTATTAGGGCTTTCATACCATGGATGTGTCTATTAGTCTAGTTGCCAAAAGGCATTTTTCACCCAAACCTGAAAGTAAGGTCCACCCAATGTTTTTTAGTGTTTTCTGTTTCTTTAAGACCTACATAATTAAAATCTGCAGGGTGCCACTTTGTCACCCTTTAGCAAATTGAAATATTCAAAATGGCGGCCAAGATGGCTTAAAAACTGTATATTTGCTGTATCTTTCCCTATAGAAGAGACAGGATAGTAATTTTTGGGTCTAATTTTATGTTTTAAGGGTCAGAGAATACCAATAATTGATTATCTTAGTAATAAAATACCCCCGCCGCAGCAAACCTGCCAACTAGGCGAATTTCCAGTTGCCTGAATTGATTTTCAATTAAATGTATTTAATTAACATTGATTTTTATGAGTATTTAGGCTTGCTGCTACAGGGAGAGTAAAAAAGTTTGTTTTTTAGTGAAATATTAATAACTTAGTATAAAATAAATAAATTTACCAAGTTTGATCAAAATATATCCATAAACAAGCAGACTACAACATTTTACATTATTCCCCATAAGAGTAACATGTGAATTATTAAATAACAATTATTTGAATTTTCTCCGTAACTAATAATGGTACAAAAACACTTTGATATACTAAAGTATTTGTTTTTTTAAGCTCCTCTTTAAGAAGGTCTGAAGAGAAATTGGAAAATTTTGCGTTTAGAGGGTCAAAAATTAGAAAAACCAATTTTTACCCCATAAAACCCCGTTCCCATGGTCCGATCATGCTGGTTCGCGAACTCATTCAAGTTTATCCCGCCTTACACCTTCAAACCAAATTTCATCAAAATTGTATAAAATTACTCAAGTTATCGTGTTCACGGACACATATATGCAATTGTCTATTATGAAAAATTGAATTTTGGTATGTTTCAAAACTCCTACTTTTTCAGTGTTTTCATGCTCGGATTTTGTCAGATTTTTTTTATACATTGCCCTATATGTATGAATGTATGATTCCAAAATATGTCTTAAATGTTCTCAAAGTAATTTTTCCCACCTCTAAGTGTATTTCAATCGGACTAGATGTAGTGGTGCAGCACGGCTAGCGCTCCAAGTTGAAGACTAATAACAATATATCCCATAATATATCTTCAATGAATATACAAACTGATATGAGGTTGATAATTGTTCAAAATTTAATGCAGATTCTTTTAAGAGCCACAAAATATGAATGTTCTTATCACCTGAGTTTGTATTTGCAAACATTTAAAGGTTTTACAAAAAAATCTTCGAAATTTGGTATTGTTTCTATTTAAAGCTGTCTCTTTTAAATAAATCAATATTGAAATGGTATAAAGTTATTATTATCTTAAAGTAAACTTGATGAGGAAGCTATTAAGACAAACCGCAGATTGTTAAGACGATTAGTCGTCAAATTATTGATGTTTTACTAAAAGCTTACATAAATCCAATGTGGCGGAAGTTTTATCAAAAATGGCGGCTTTCCGCCACTTGGATTTTTCTTGATTTTTAGTATAATATTCTTGACACCTTTGTTGACAAAATCCCATATATTTTGGAATATATGGGGAAGAAATATATTTTATTTCTTTTACCTAATTTTGATGTTGGACCGTATTTTGACTAGCCTAAAGAACAGTGTTTTTTTCGCAGTTGATAAAGTCATTCACGGTTCCTGAAGAAGGATAATGCACTGTCCACAGAACAGCACAAGCATCAATTAGGAGAACTGCTTGTAAGTTAACTGATTTGATGACTGTGTTCTGTTTGAATGTTGCACTTATCCTCAGAAACCATAGATTTATATTGTTTTAAGTCAAGTAAATACTTGAAAACATTGTTGATAAGGTAACTAAGCAACAAATTAATGTGGAAATTATTAAAAACTTATATTGATTTATTATTTTGGGTAATTTTCCAATTAAAACATCAAACTAGGCACAAAATGATTATCCTGTCTCTTCTATAGGCAAAGATATAGCAGATGTACAGGGTTAGTAAAAAGTGAGGAGACCCCCTGTTATTTTTTTAATAGCCCATACTAGAAAAACTAAACTCGGCACACCTTTATGACATGTTATGAAGTACTTTTTGGGCATAACCGTCACTTGGTGTAAATCCACAAAATGGGGGATTTTGGGGGAAACTCAAAAATTTCAAACACAAAGACCCATCATGTGACCCCTCATTTTGAAGGTCCTGGTAAAAGAAAACTAACAACGCAAACTAGAGGTTTCTATCTCAATCCGGTAAAAAATGGTAGCTGATTGAAATCTTTAGAAATCGGAAATAACTTGCAATTTTATATTCAATTGGCTGCCATATTTTACTGTGTTAACATAGAGTAGTTTGCGTTGTTATTTTTCTTTTATTATGACCTTCAAAATGAGGGGTCACTCGATGGGGTTTATCATTTAAAATTTTTGAGTTTCCACCAAAATCCCCCATTTTGGGATTGGGAACTTATGAGAATTTCAATTGGCTGCTATTTTTTACTGAACTGAGATAGATACCTCTAATTTGCGTTGTTGGTTTTATTTTACCAGGACCTTTAAAATGAGGGATCACTCGATGGGTCTTTGTATTTGAAATTTTTGAGTTTCCCCCAAAATCCCCATTTTGGGGATGAACACCAAGTGGCGGTTATGCCCAAAAAGTAGTTCATAACATGCCATAATGGTGTGCCGAGTTTAGTTTTTCTAGTATGGGCCGTTAAAAAAATAACAGCGGGTCTCCACACTTTATACTAAACCCCTATATAGTTTTAAGTCATCTTGGCCGTCATCTTAAATATCTCAATTTGCTCAAGGGTGACAAAGTGGCACCCTGCCTATTTTAATTATGTAGGTCTTGAAGAAACAGAAATCACTAAAAAACATCGGGTGGACCTTGCTTTCAGGTTTTTTGACCTGCAACCAGACTATATGCGCTATTGAGGTTTTAATACTAACCTTGAATTATTCATATTCAGCTGCTATCTCAAAAAAGATTATAATAGTGAGTAATGGTTTATTATTTACCAAATAGACAAGACACACAAACAATGAAGTTGTTTATTGTTCCATCACTTTAGTTTGAATCTAACTTTTGACTAAGGATAGAACTTGATCCTCTATTCTCATGTAAAAGTTGTGGTCAGATTTAGAATAAAAATTAACCAACTTGAATAAGTAAATTCACTGATCTTCTGTACCAAGCTAAACTACAAGGACAACTTATGTACTGTAGCATCTTAGTTTAAAGGTCACACCATTGACTA